TATAGGATAAGTTTGGTTTATTTCTCCTAATAAATGAAAAATCCAATTATGCTCGTATTTATCAATATATTTTTTATAAAAACAATCGTTTAATATTCTAATTTTATTTTCTTTATTAATTCTGACTATATTTTCTATAAAATATAAAGACACAGGTATATTTCTACTATTTTTCAGAAAATAATCAAGCACAGTATAAAACGATTTAATTTCTTCTCTTTTTCTTTCGCAATCAATTTCTAAACACTGAATAATAGTGACTAAAACTTCATAAATAGCATAAGTGCAAATATTAATATAAGTATTCAACATAAATAAGAAAGATCTTACAGTATTGAAACAGAAGGTAAATGCAGAATAATATCAACGAGATTTCCCTCGAGCTTGCTCCCATATGTTTGTATACTCAGATATAAGTGATCGATGTTATTTGAGTTTAAAAAAGTGGGTTATGGTCCAACACAACTTTCGCACTCTTATTATTTTTCTCTCGACTCTTTTGCATATCTCACAATGGATCATACGGAATCACAGTTTTCCTTTCAACTCCTTGTTAAAACATCACCTTGAAAGGTAACTGGGTTCTAATGGCTTAGTTCAACAGGAAGAGTCTATATTTCAAGGCATGTAATGTTCAATGAACTTGAGTTTTCTTTTGAGTCATTATTCTCGCACAAAATCGATCTAACTCTGCTGAACCTGAAGCAGTTGTGTCATACTTTCAATTTTCTCCTCAACAGATCAGTTCGAATTCTACACCAAGTCCAGTTGATACAACTCATCCAGAAGCAACCAACGCTCTGCATAACTCACCTCTTAGTTTAAGTGACACTCATCATGAAGGTTTGAACATTGGTGAGGTTGAAAACAGTGATGAAATTTCCACCAGAAGTTTGAATGAACTGGAAACTGAAGTTGAGTTACCTTAGAATGTTGAAAGATTTGAATCAGAACAACAACAATCAGTGGGCAATAAACTGGGAGACAAGAATCAACAAAGAGCAAGTAATTTGACTAAACATCCCATGATCACAAGGGCAAAGGCTGGAATCTTTAAACCCAAAGTATACTTTGGTGAATCAGTTAAAAATAGTCCAAAACCTTCAGAACCTAAAAATGTCAATGAAGCTCTCTTGGACAAGGACTGGAAAAAAGCTATGGAGAAAAAGTTCAATAAATTGATGAAGACTAAAACTTTGAAACTATTGCCACCATTACTAGCATACAACATAGTAGGAAACAAGTGGGTTTTCAAAATAAAACGAAACACAGATGGATCAGTTCAAAGGTTTAAGGTTATACTCACTCTGGCAGTCTTTAAAGGATCGACAATTAGGCAAGTTGACATCAACGATGCCTTTCTAAATGGTGAACTTGAAGAGGTGGTATACATGAATCAACCGAAAGGATTCATAGATAAAACAAAACCTGATCATGTTTGCAAACTAGAAAATACACTCTATGGATTGAAACAAGCACCTAGAGCTTGGCATGAGAAGTTAAAAACAATGCTGATGAGTTGGAAGTTCAAACAATCAATAGCTGACACTTTCCCTTTTTACTTCAAAAATGAAAAACAGATTATCTTTGCATGTAGATGACAGCGTTGTGACAGGAAATGACACGAAGATAGTGCAAGAGTTTATAAAGGAATTGGATAAGAGATTTACACTTAAGGATATGGGGCAACTTCATCACTTTTTAGGAATTGAAGTGCTATGGCATGATTTAGGAATTCATCTCACTCAAACAAGATACATTGCTGAGCTGCTTCAGAATTTTGAATTGCAGAACATCAAGCCATGCATACTCCTATTCCTTTTGGCAAAACCATATCCAAAACTGATGGAGAAGTACTTAAAGATCCTTCAGTTTACAGAAGTGCAGTAGGGGGATTGCAATACCTTTCACAAACACGGACTGGCAACACTTTTGCTGTTAATAAACTTAGCCAGTTCCTACAATCACCAACATCCATACATTGGCAGGCCTTGAAAAGAGTACTGAGATACCTTAAAGGGACAATAAATCAAGGACTCTGGATACAGAAAAGTGACAGACTAAATTTAAGTGGATTCTCAGATGCAGATTGGGCTTCATGTCCAGATGACAAAAGATCAACGGATGGATATTGTATCTAATTGGGTGATAACTTAATAGCTTGGTCATCAAAGAAACAACATGTGGTTGCTAGATCAAGCACAAAATAAGAATACAGAGCACTCACCTCAGCAACCTATGAAATCGCTTGGATTCAATCCCTCTTTAAGGAACTTGAACTGCCTCAAGTGTCGAATCCAATATTATGGTATGATAACATGAGTGCAGGAGCCTTAGTAGCCAATCCAGTATACCATGCCAGAACAAAACACATTGAATTAGATGTTTAGGTTAATTCTTCACACCCATTTCCTCAGACCAAATTGCTGACCTGCTAACCAAAGGTCTGACTCACTCAAGGTTTGCCTTCTTAAAAGAGAAGCTTGGAGTTACTTCAGTACCGTCCAGCTTGAAGATGGGAATGAAGAATTAACCTAAACATCAGCTACCTATACATCAGCTCATCCATTTCAGCACAACATCAGGTCTATACGGTTGTGTCATCAACAGCCTATCCTTGCTGTCCATTTTTAGTTACACCATAATAGTGGTATTGCTTTCTTGTTGTAAATAGATTCCAACATCTTCCATAATTTATGGATCTAACTACAGCTGTACATTCTAGAATATTATTTGTAATCTATAAATTGTATACAACCAAAGCAATAAACATTAAGCATTACAATTCAGCTGCTCTTGCACTTCTAACTTCTCTTAATCCAAACAATTCTCAATAACTGCTCATAAAGTCAAAAACAATATGCACGTAATACAAAATTCAAAATAATCGTAAATGTCACCTATAGAGAGTCCAATAACGCAAACAAGGCCGGAAAACAGGATATTTGATTTAATTGTTTTCACGGGGTATTCGAGAACTTCTGGCAGTGGAAACAGGGAACATGGGTTCCAACCAGAAAGACATGAGGCTTTTGAATGAATAAGAAAAATCTATAAAAAGCCTTGAACACCCGTTGCTGGCTATCACCTCCACCCTCCCTCTTCCAATACCGTTCATTTTTTTCAATCCTTCATTCAATTGAGATGGAAAATGAATAGAAATGTGCGTTTTAAGAGAAAAATGAAACTAGGATTTTTATGTCGTTCTAAGAAAATAAATGGAAAGTCAAAGTTTGGAATTATACAATTAAAAGCAACATATCACTTTTTAATTATTTCTAGATGATTAGATCAAGTTGATTTGTCCTAAGTTTGAATACCAGAATTAAAAATAAAAGCAATAAAGAACACCAAAATTGATAACGGAAAGATGCCAACTGGATAAAAACTCTGTTCATTTTACCAATCGATAATCTACTACAAATCGAAACAAACTTACAGTATGGTCCAGACCCGTCTACCCTGTAGAACTTGTGATCTCAATTCATGCAATCTCCCTTGATCCTAGAAGTGTGCTCCTTTAAAACAAATCCTGACTCCTGATTTATATCTTAGCCTTCTTGGACTGCTCACTCTTAACGCCAGATCCCGACTCCAGTACCTCGCCTTAGTCCTCCCGAATTTGTGTTTCTACAATAGCTCCCAACCACCGGTATTAATTTACCTCCGATGGATTAGGTGATTTGTTGTTTGATCAATAGATCTTATATGTTTTGATCTTGTGGTTTAAAAATTAAACAATGTGGCAAGATCAACAAATCAAAGGTTAGATGAATTTATAGCTCAAAGAATAGGGTGGTTGAATATTTGAATCAATGAATGCGTTTTGGAATGGTCT